GTTTTGGGTAGTGTTCTACATTAAGTGCTTTAGCCTTTGAATGCCGCCAACACCAAAAATTCAAGGGCAGATCTCTTCTGATGTTGGGAGGTAACCTGCCCTTTACTACTTGAGGTCGTGCTTATCTCATTTGAGCAACCGCAACCCACTCTGTGGAAATGGACCAGTAGTATACTAGCTGTACGGGGTTGTTCATACGAGCCAGGGTGTAGGGAGTGTGCATCACAGTCTGAAGTTGTACCAATCTGCAGCTTGGTAACTTGCTGACTTATAATAGACCATTACATTCTACACAGCTCATGGTAGATCGTGTTACTATTACGCCACCCAGCTTGCAAATACCATAATTTGTTGAAAGTCGTAAATCCACATTGCTGAAAGGATGACCGATTCCCTGCTTCCTTCACAGCTTATATCCTTTTCATCCCAATTGTTAGTGCTAATTGCAAAGAATGGGTTCCCTTGCTGACAAGAGGTGACCGGGATTCCCGGTACCGGGAATCCCGGTACTGGGATTGGCAATTTTCAGCTATTCCGGTCCGATCCCGGTCAACCGGGTCAAGTCAAATTTTTCATCCCGGTCGCGGTCCCGGTCAAATGCTGATCTATGATCCCGGTCCCGGTTAATTCAGGATTCTTGGTCCCAGTCCCGGTCCCGGTCCCGGTCAATCACTCAAATTTGCCGGGATTTTGACCGGGATCTTTTACATTATTTCATTCACTGTGATTTTAAGTTTTTACTTTCATTCATTGTGAATTTCATCTTTCAACAACCTCTGAGCCAAATAAAACAATGTTTAAAATTGCTAAACAAGTTTACTAGTTTAGGTAACTAATATCGTTACATAACTCATTTAAGTGCAAACTAACATCAAGTTTTCAACTCGGGCTACGCCCAATTGTCAATTGGAATTGGAGAATGAAACTGTTGAATAATTTGAGGGATCATTGATCGAGGAATGAGGAATGAGGGTGAACTTGAGTAATCAGTACATGAACATTATTGGTGTAGTACATTGGGCCCATGCACCATATTGACGGTTTTTTTTTTTCAATTATAATGTAAATGAAAGTTGCAGCTTTCAATATGAGAATACCAGTTTTGGTCCCGGTCATCACGGTCAAATCCCGGTCATCCCGGTCAAATCCTGGTCATCCCGGTCAATTCCCGGTCATCCCGGTCATCCCGGTAAAATTGGATTGTTGGTCCCGGTCCCGGTAAGATAGAAATCCCAGAAATTATTGGTCCCGGTCCCGGTCATGGTAAATTGATAATCTCAGTCCCGGTCCCGGTCCCGGTCCCGGTCCCGGTCAAGTCACATTTCGTATCCCGGTCCCGGTCCCGGTCAGGCCTAAAATCATGTCCCGGTCACCTCCTGCTTGCTGAACGATTGACAGGGCCGGGTTGCTCTTCAGCCAACTCCTACTTACGGATTTTCCGGATTATTCGGATTGTAATTTCTTAAACCATCATTTTACCACCCAGACCCTTTATCTTGTTAGTACTACAATTTCAAAGTTCAATATTAGGTACACTTAATCAAATCAAGAAATGCTTATGCATCACACACAGGTTAATACTTAAGTTAGCTAAGGTACTTTGATGTTAGGAGGGTTATTACTGCAGTGAACCCTTCCACTGTGAAAAATTTCGCACTCCATACTCGTTGTATTGTACTATAGACTCATCAAAACGTGATACAAGCAATGTCATAATCCTCCCAAGAAAAACCAACACTTTTCTTTATATAGCCTCCAAATTGTGGAATAGCATACATAAACGGATTCTAAATGAGAATGGGGAAATCCTCACTACTTCTGTATCTTTGGTTAAATTACGCTGTAAAAGTATCATCCTGGGATCTCAATCCATCAACAATAATAACACCTGGACTTACCACAACTTTCACATCGCCCCTCACTCAATCACAGACCAAACCATCTCATCACTCACTCACCAAATTGCCGACCCAATATCTATTGAAGTGGCGAAAATTTTCTAGACAAATGATATTTCGATATTATTGCTGCAGCAGATACAAATACCAACATTATTATATTCCCAAACGTTTGAACCTTTAAATTAACTAGGAAAGTCAATCCTCAACTTGACTTTTACTGTTTTAAACAGATATGATGATATTAACTTAATTCATTATTATTATTATTTTTTTTACATACTCCTTCTTAGTGTGGTGACTTGGGGTCCATAAATATAACAATACAAGCTGATAAACCAAAAAGAACAACTGGGGTAGGTAGGTAGCCCTGGTGGGTGCGTAAACTTTACGGTCTGCTCTCTCCAAGATCAGCCTGCTTCTCCATTTTACCGTGAAGCCTAATTTCTAGTTTTTATAAAATATACAATGCAAGTGCAGGTTTACTAATCTTAATCTACTTAACAACTCAATAGCCCAAGTCACCATACCCGTAGTATATTCCATGGTAATAGAAGAGCTTTAAAGTTTTTCAAATTGTTGCTATAATTGATTTAAATAAAAATTTGTTGTTTTCTTGAAAAAAATTTGTTGTTTTCTTGACTGTTAAGATAGATAATAATGCTCCTCAATTGTATATTGTATAAAATTTGTTTCTCAAATGGTTAGATTTATTCTGTAAGACCTTCTCGTGGTACATGTAATGGGACAACCTGCAATTGCTTTTAACCTTGTTTTTTGGAGCGATCGCCAATATAACAACTTCTGAATAACCAGGCAATGCTGAACTTGAAATGGGCAGGCGTGAAATTGCAATGTTTGGTCTTCATTGAATCTGAGTGTTCAGCTGTAAGCTGTTAGGAATCGCAAATTTTATTTTAAATGGATCAGATAACACTACAACTGTTTTATCTGAACAAGTTCCGAACACAGTGGCGTAACGTAGCCTGTTGGTGCCCCCCCGCCGAAAAAGCGCCCCCCTGTTGGCGCCCCCTCCCATTTTGGTGCCCCTCCCTAAAATTGAACAGATTAGGTGATGTTAGAGGATACGCCGGTAAAATCTCTAAAAAATTGTGTATCTAGAGTAAAACGCGCAGTTTTGCTAGTACTCTAGTGAAGTTTTCGAATTGGTCCCACATTCAAACGACAATTTGGCGCCCTCCTAAGACGGAGCCCCCCCTCCCCCCGGCCCCCCCGCACAGCGGGGTCAGCAGGGCCCTTCGTTACGCCTCTGTCCTAACATACAGTCATATCTTATTATTGCAAAGTTTTGTTCTAAAAAGGTTCATATCTTTTGTAACTTTGTAACTTTTCATTTAGAACATACATCGTTTTTGCCAATGTTAACATATAGGTAAGAAATCAAACCTTGGTAAGGTTGAGGTAAACATATTTCAAAACTTTTCAATTTTAGGTACAGAATAAGTAATCATGTCTACCGACCTTGCTCCTGCTTATTCCCCATTCTTTGGATGCATGGGTGCAGCTTCTGCGATAGTATTCTCATGTAATTAACAGTCCATTTATTTGTTTCAACCAAAGTACAATGTTTGTCATAATAGCAAACTTTTTGCCTGATGAATACTATAGCTTATGAAAAGTTAAACTTTCGAAAGGTTAAACTTCTTTAAGCCAACTAATTTAACTTTCTTTTCGTTTTCAGCTTTTGGTGCTGCTTATGGGACAGCTAAATCAGGAACAGGAATTGCTGCAATGGCAGTTATGAAGCCTGATCTTATTATGAAATCTATAATTCCAGTTGTTATGGCAGGTTAGCATAACATAAATGTAATTTTACAAACTCACAATGGGAGGATTATGATGAAAAATTAAAGTTGAATGTAGGAAAACCATAGTGAGTTATGATTTAACTGTCAAGCTCAGTAAATCTCGATGTTTTGCAGGTATTTTAGCTATTTATGGTTTGGTGGTAGCAGCTCTTATATCACAAGGATGTATCCTTTTACAACAAAATTTCTAGGTTACCTTACTTTCATTGGAAAATGTCTGATAAAGTACAATATTGGCTACCATTTTCTGTTAGTCAGCCGCAAACATGACGTTTGAAATTGTAAATTTGGGCATGACTTTCTGAACTATGAACCAGCTCTTGCTGGAATGTTGCACAGTGTGCTTCCCATGTATCCTTTTGAAATTACCATTGACGACCTATGGAAGACAGACAGTAGATTTTGGGAGACAATGCAGTTCAACTGACATCTGTTTATGACCGTTTTACTGACAATGATCTGAATTTGCCATTTTTTGTTTTCTTTATGGTCAACTCTGTAGTCTGTATCTACCCTCGCTCCTTCTGGACAACATGTCATGTGAGTATCTTATCACCGAAGCATCTCTGCAGTCAGCATTCTTATTGTAGCAAAAACTAATGTAAGGTTTTTTTAAGAGATTTAACTTTCAAGTTTCCCTCACCATGATCTAAACTGTAATCTAATCATGCATATCCATTATCCATTATTCATTTTTGTTATGTTTCGGTTGTTCATGAGCCTGTTGGGGAATTCGATCCTTGAAAAATAGATCAGGAAAGTCCCATAATATGATTTACTACGTCCTTTTCCTCATTTAGTATCGTGTCGTTATGTGATATGTTTTGCCCAGGTTGAATCTAACATGAGTTAAATAACTTTTATAAGCAATATTAATAAGAATGTTTTCATTTTAAATATAATATTACCAATTTAAAACATTTGTTTTTTGGGACCGCCACCACGTTCCTATTTGGCACAATGTTTGCTTGATTCTTGAACACGCTGAAGGGTGTATGTTTAATGTTTATTATTTCGTCTAACTTGACTGTACGAAGAAGTAACAATTAACATTCAACATGTACATATTCTGTGCGGCTAATAAACAATCGTCCGATCATAAACTTTAAATGATGTACAAACATCATCTAACTGCATTTGTTACAGCATGATAATATGTAATACACATAATTTTACACAGATATCATCGAGATTATCCAAGTTTCAATATTACAGCTTTAAAACAAAAAATGCTTTATTTAACCCCAATGCTTTATTTAAACCCAGTTTATTCAGCAAAGCAGTTTTAACCGATATTATTCGATAGCATTCTCACAAATCCAAAATGGCTGACGAAACCACCTCCGACTTAGCCCCAGCTTACGCACCATTCTTCGGATGTATGGGAGCAGCATCAGCTATCATCTTCAGTTGTAAGCACTTATCACTTTACTTATCACAGTTTCGATACTTTTTTTGCTGTTATACACCTCATAACAGTCAAATATCTTGACCAACGTTTACTAAATATTACAATATTTCCATACGTACAACTTAGGGAAATAAGGCAGATAAATTGTTGATATGTACAATGAGCTACCCTACTTGCCAAAATGACTTGTGTGTAAGTAGCGAAGCATTACGAGTTAAGACACACACACACACACCCAGCCTCGCCCAGTCATTAGTTTCTAGCATACCTATTTTAACACAGTACAGGGTAATTACACTTCATTATAGTTACACCTAATTGCTTTAATCACCACACCCCTCATTATATCTCTCCTATCTCCACTTTCCCTGCTAATGCACAGAATTCATCATTATCATGTACACTCGTTTTACACTCTGTTGGTACATCATGTGTTCAGTGTGTGATGAGATCACTGAACAAATGTGATTACCTTTCACAAGAGAGTCTCACAAAGCTGTATCGAGTGGGTCCCCATTAGAATTGAATTCACCAAATGAAGCACCGTCAATGAGCCTCACTATACTAACAAACACCCATATTTAACATGCTCTAAAACTAAAATCTGCGTTCTGCAGAACACAGCGCCCTGATAAGCGTAGCCGTGTAAGTAGGAATTAGAAAGTTGCTTCCGAGATATACTGAGAGATTCTAAGAAATACTAGAGTTTATATTTCTTTCGCCGGCGCGGCGGTTTACCCTGAACATGTGAGGGTAAAAGTGGACATAGCTAACCATGAAATTTAATTTACATTCCGATAAAGGGAGCGCATTCTGCTGCACCATTACAGAAATTAGCAATGAGAGGTAGCAGTAAGCAGATAAAACGGTGTTTAGAATTAGTTATTACAGCGATCATATTTCACATTTCGTCATTCAGCAGAAGCCATTTCCTCAAACTTCAGAATCAGCTCTAATATTGTCCCATGTAACTTGACTATTCTACACTGCCTAGAAACAAGAATACTTAGAATGTGCCAGTATTTACAACAAATACACAATAAATTTCTTTCAGCATTGGGGGCTGCTTATGGAACAGCTAAATCAGGAGTCGGTATCTCTGCTATGGCAGTAATGAAACCTGATCTGATTATGAAGTCTATCATTCCTGTGGTTATGGCTGGTTAGTATAATAATGGTTATTAATAATTTTATTAGTTTATTAATATAATACATGTGGTGTAACCCGACTTATGAATGATGATGAACTTGTCTTGAAGTAAAAATTGAAGAATTGTGTATTATATTGAAGCGCATTGGTACCTTAATATTATTTTTTTATTATACTGGTATTAAACGCTTGGAATTTCGGTTATTTAATCTGAAATATTTCAGGTATCTTGGCTATCTATGGTCTTGTCGTCGCTGCTCTTATCATCCAGTCACGTATCCTTTTGAAATGCTATCAAAAATTCCTTGCATTTAAAAAAATCATTCAATATTGTACAAAAATCATGATCAGTTTCACTCAACCACAGGCCTAGGATTCATACAAGACGTAAATCGCAAAAATTTCGGAACAATTGGAATCTTTCCAAATTTCTAATCGTCATACATGTTTGAGATTAAAAGAGCTCCTTGTATCAATATCCACCAAACAGTTGCGAGTAAGATTAAGGTATATTAATAGATTAATATAGTTCCTTTATAGTGCTGCATAATAGTCTCTATAATTGGTTTATTGTACACGTGCGCAATAATCCAGGTCTAGGTCGCTGCGTTTTGATACCTGGATTATTGGCTCTTTTAGACTTATGGTTAATGTTTTTAATGTCATAAGTTTTAAATTTGTTGAGTAAAGTATGCTGTAGAACGTTGATAACTGGTTTATCACTTGAGGGAAATCGAATGTCGATAGCGCGCGCCGTCATGTCAAGGAAAACTGCCCACCGAACCGGAACAAACCATGCCACTTTTGCAGCAGTTAGCATTTAGTATAACGCGCGCATCGCGCGCGGTACTTCCGGATCATATAAAAAATCACATGACACCCGGAAGTTGATTCCCGGATGTTCGGTTTTCAAGACTGAACACCTCGTACTCCTCATAACATCAATGATCAGGCTAAAAAGTTGACCAAACAAGCGATTAACCTTGAATATTCAAATTCGCCGATGGTAAGTGTAATGTCTATTACCAGTGCCACGTAAAAATTCTACACATTCACAGTTCACTATCACACCCAGATTTCAACTAAGTTGCCACAATTCAATGTTGTCAAAATCAATCTAATTATGTTTGGAACTTTCCTTAACTCCCTACAAACAGTATACCCAGCACCGAAATACACCCTCTTCATGTCATTCTGCGACTTTGCTGCCGGACTTTCAGTCGGAATTTGTGGACTTGCCTCTGGTTTTGCTATTGGAATCGTCGGAGATGCAGGTATGTGTTTTACTGGAATGTTGTGTGTTTGTGGGTGTAGCTAAAACTGCTGCCAATGTGATTCAACTACAGGTTTGTAATTTGTATGGTTGTAACTTGCAGGCTGTAGAGTGTAGAAGCTGTAAAAAGGCAGTTTGAACTGTGTTCGTTACATCCACAGACATCATGGTTTTTATTGTAACCTCTCACAAGGAACTGTGCTGTAGGAATTAGGATCGCTTAATATTGTTAGGACAGGGGTTACAGGGGTAACAGGGGTAACAGGGGTAATGACCAAGGTAGTTAGCTGTTAGTAGGTAGCTCCACCCAACAGTCAGTAATTGTAATTGGGTGACTGCATGACTGCATCTCATTGTTCCACATAATACCTGGATTGTTGCGCAACTGTGCAGTAATAGCATCTGTATTCTGCAAACATTAGGATTACCATACAATGTGCGTATTACGGATGTAAGTGTGTACAATCTGTAGGCTGATACCAGATTAACAGTAGCGTGGTTAGCATCTGACTTCCTGTTTATACTTTGCTCTAACCTCAATAGTTGAGCCGGGGATCAGCCTGGTTTGCCCAATTTGGTTTAATCGTGAAAATTACCCACCGTGTATAATACTGATGTACTGCAATGTTCACTGTAAATTGGGTTGTAATGTTGGTGTAGGTCGTGGTTGTGTAATGTGTACTCGCTACATCCGGTGTGAAATTGTTATATTTCTTACTAGGGTATGAAGATAAAGCGGAGAATTGTTCTGAAGGGTTCAGTGGCATGTAAAATGAACCATAAAGTAAACAATAACTTATATATGGATGAATCAGCATGATGCTAGAGCTAGAGCTACTGATCTCTATAGAATATGATTCCCCTTAATGTCTTCTTAATAACTACTTTTCTCTAATATTCTGCTTCAAGGAAAGATGTAGAGTTCCGGCTGGAATTGTACCAATCTTATCTTCGTTAGTAACGCAACCCAAACGTCCAGACTTAGCTGTTACATTGGTCATTTAAAAGATATTATCATGTTGTCACAATGCAATTTATTTAACAGGTGTGAGAAGCACAGCACAGCAGCCTAAACTGTTCGTGGGTATGATCCTGATCCTTATTTTCGCTGAAGTGCTCGGACTCTACGGTCTTATCGTCGGAATCATCCTTCACATCAGGGTGAGTACTAGAGATTATATTGTGGTTTTTTTTACAAGTTCGCGTCATAGCAATATTAGCCAATCAGCTTTCCAGGAAATAGGCAAATACTGAGAATTCTATTTTCTATTCAAAAGATTAATCGAAGATCACGAAATTTATTCTGTCTTGTTATTCCGAGTATCATCCCAAATTTAACATGACTATTATTTTCAGATTACCACCAAAGCAACGTCATAAATACTTCTTAACGCCATTTCAACGAACACTCCTGCCGGTCAGGATCAAAATATATTGTAGTGTGATAAGAAATATTAGTTGATTGGAAAACAATTAGACAACATTCTCATACTTGCAGTCGAGTATAAATACTATATATGTTTAAAAGGTTTCGAAAGAAAGGCTTTTTCATTTACCGTCTTAATGTAATCTAGATCAAAATGTGTAGTGTATAGAACATTCTGGATCATTCTGGAACATTCATCTGCTGGATTTCTCGCTTCAAGTGTGACGATCCAGTGATAGATAGCATGATCTGCTTTCTCAAGATCTTGAACCGTTTTACAGTTAATTTCTATTAGTAATTTAGTCTGGTGTTAAAGGGTTTCTGATTCGCCTCGTTATTGAGATTCGTCACTTTGGGAGACGTTGCATGTAGTGGGGAGACCTTGCACACAGTATCTGCTTATCTTATTGAGAATAGCGGAGGAAACTGTGAATTGTAAGATCTAGTCACGTGTTATTTTCATTCTGTTAGGTAATTTTTTTAGAATTTAACACTTGGCTTCACACTAGACCAATTGCAATGTATTTGTTCAAAAAGATTAATCCTTTCGACCGAAATTGCACATCATGACACACTATCTTGTTTCCATCCCAAGAGACGGATCTCATTTGAAAAGTAACATTTCTTATTTTGTGTCTATATGGTAAATTTTCTGAAGTTCGCAATTGGTTTTGGTACACAATCGGTCTTTTAAATTATTTTATAGTCGCATTGTTATTACGAATATGTATTATTTCGTGTGCACGTGACATTGGTTGCCATGGTGACTGCGACGTCTTGTTATAGTCATCATCTCACCCATGTCACGTGCCATCGTTTATCATGTGAACTACATTATAAATTTGTGTGAAATTCTTTGATGTGACTCATCCAAATTGCCTCTTATTGTGTATACCTTCTCGAACTTAAATTGGTCAGCATAGCCTGAGCACTGCCTCTTGAGTGTAAATAATACAAATTCGCCGGGAAGCACGATTGGTGGGCACCCTGCTGCAGTTAAATACCACGGGTTCGAGCTGACCTCTTCAATACGCTGGTTCGGGGAGGAGACTACATATTAAGGAGTGATCGTGTGATACTGATAACTGATAAAATAAAGTTTGAACTGTGCGACTGAAAGGTATGTGAGATATCAGCAATCAGGTGTGAAATAGATAAAACTGGTCATGGACAGTTTTCACCTGTAAAAGGAGCGATCAATGTCATCTGAGATGTTACGGTGTGAGAAGATAAAACGAAAAAGGTAAAGATTTGGTTAAGCTCGTTACTAGTTACAAGCTGTTAAACTTAAATGAGAAACTAGATGTGAATGAAGGGTAAAAAATTGTGTGAAGAGATAAGAAGTGCGAGGAGATAATAGATAATATAATAGATTATAAGGATTAGATGACTTGGAAGGGTTGACGACAGTGCCGTAACGAAGGGTACCGCAATCTTAGGGGGGGGGGGGGGGGATCGTCGTTTGAATGTGGGACAATTTTGAAAAACTTAACTGAGGTACTAGCAAAACTGCGCGTCTTGCTCTAGAAACACACTTTTTTAGAGATTTTACCAGCGTATCCTCTAAATTCACCTTAGTTTGTAATTTGTTCAATTTTAGGGACGGAGGGGTGCCAAAAGGGGAGGGGCGCATTAACGGGTCGGGTGATACTCTTAAAATATCTGTTCCATATATTGGACCGTCGACGAGTCCAACTCGGCGCGCGTCCTGGTAGCAGGTAGGTTGTAAACCTACAAGGGGCGCATTTCGGCGGGGAGCGCCGCGCCAAAATTAGGGAAGGGGCGCCACTGTGCACTGGTTGACGATGTCAACCTTTCCAAGTTTCTAAAGATCTCGTTGCAAAAACGATAGTTCGCGTCAAAACGGCGATGTCCTCCGATCCAGTAGGCGCTTATAAACGTAAACTGATTAACGATGTCCTTCTTTCGAAGCTATTCACTATTGCATGTTCATTGTTAATAATAATTTACTAACCTGGCGCGCGTAACACTAACACCCGTCAACTTCAAGGTACTGCGACCCAGCATATATAAATCACAGGGGTGCCATTATATTGCAAAAAAACTGCCCAGAAACCCTTACTGGATGGGGCCTAACTTTGAAAGTAAAAGAGTTAGTAGAGACATTCCGGTTTTTTGTAACATGTTCCATGTTCGTCTTATAAAAGTAACGTTACCTCCCCAGGAAGAAAATTTAAGACAACGTAGTTGTTGATTTGTGATTAATTGACGGATGTTACTCGTCTAAATTTCTTCGAAGTAGCGTCACGCAGTACGCGTAGACACATGGCTATGTGAACGCCGGGCCAAATCATTAACAATGGTCAAAGTTGTTGAGTTATCTCAAAATCTTTTGACCATTGATAATGATCTGGCCCGGCGCGCGCTACTTCGTAGCACTTGCCATCGCGCTACTTCGAATAAATTTAGACGAGTAACATCCGTCAAAAAATCTCCAGAAACAAAGAAAAGTCCCATTTTGGGCCGATCAAAAGTGTGCAACTTTAACTTTGCGGATTCCTGTACTCTGATTGGCTGAATTGTGTCACGTGCCATGCTAGCTGCTTGAACATTGGAATGCGCCACGCGTGCAAATCATGCTTAATTGTTAATGTCGCGCGCGAGGTCAAGCTTGACCATTGTTAGGTATGTAGCTGCGCCATCGACAGTGGACAGTGAGCCGCGCGTGCCGACTGTAGGATGGTTTTTTAGCGCTAATTTCGGCCAGCACAATTTTCTTCAAACAAATAGATATTGAGTATCCTTCCCGACCTCCGATTGCAACAAAAATTGGTTTACTGGGCCGCGCTCAGCCTGTCATTCCGCCGAATCTCTATTCGAAATTTTATTCTATGTTAATGAACATGATAGCCTGAGGTCCCCAGGTAAAAATTGGTAAGCTTAGGGGTTGTTCACATATTACGTAATCAGCCGAAGGGGGGAAGGGGGGGGGGGGGTTCAAATGCTTACGGTTGATTACGGCCTTGACGGATGTTACTCGTCTAAATTTCTTCGAAGTAGCGCGCTTCGCTTTCTTCTCGAAATGTTAGCGCGCGCCGGGCCAGATCATTAACAATGGTCAACACACGATATGATAACAAATTATATATATATATTTGAGACATTCAGTGAAACAGTAAAACACGAAATTCACATTAAGCTATCGATTGTGTAATCTTTACATGTCTCATTCTGAAAGCAAGTTTATTAAAATAACTGTTCTATGAAGTAAATTAAAAACATGACAAAAATAGATCAATACTGAGATGGGAAATTTGTGAGTAAGTCTCATTCAATCATAAGATATAAACAAAAGATGCAGAGGTGAAAGTAAACATCAAAATGCAAGTGTCTGTGGAAAGATTAATATTAAAGCATATCATATAAAGGTCAATTTTTTATTTCATTAAGAGCACTACGTTTATTAAGTCCTCCAAAATCACTGAGGGTCATAAGCTGGTTTTGCCAAAATGATTCTCTTTCTTTAGCAACCCTACTTCTATCTTCTAAGGTTAAACATTTTATAAAATCTAGCTTTTCAAAAATAATAACCTCTATCTGATCGGATAACTCAGTGTCAAACGTTTTTAAGGGCTCTTTGGTAAGATTATGGAACTGGTTATCGTTAAAATGACAAGAAATTTCACAACTCCTAACCGCTTTCCTAATATGTGATTTGTGGTTCTGCCATCTGGTCTTAAAATTGTTAACTGTGCTTCCTACTGAAGCACGTCTGCAGACTTTATCCCTTACTAGATAGCACACCCCTACTGTGTTGCAGTCTAGTTGTCCAATGATGTTAACAGTGTACCCCGAGTGGTAGCTCTGAGCTGTTTTTGATTCACAAATATACATTCTACAGGCTTTACATCTGGAGTTACAATGATAACATCCCCCCTCTTCTATACTAGTAGGCAGAGCCACATTTTCAGTGTTAGAGTTTAAAGCTATAACATTACTATCTTCATGATACTTACGATCTTCTGAAAGTTTACTCGGAACTAAAGTTTCTTTGATAGTTTTATTACCACGATATGAAACAAATACTTTGCTAGGCTGGATCACAGACTTTAAAAAGGGGTCTAGGCCAAGGATAAATTTATTCTTGTTAACTATTTTACCAATTGGAGGTAAGTTAGGGTCAAAATCACAAACTAAAGGAAAACATCTTTCACTCTTCTTACTATTAGAGCTTGTAAGGTTTTTTGAAATCAGATCATCCCGTTTAAGTAACTCAACTTTCTCAAAGGATTTATGGATAAGATCTTTATTGTAATTCCTATCTTCTAGATATTCACTAAATTCAATTTTACATTTCAAATACTCTTCTTCCTCTGAACAGTTTTTGAACACTCGGTGTGCTACTCCATATGGAATATTCTCTGCTATGTGTGTAGGGTGGCAGGATTGTGGGAGTAAATAGCTATGGGCATCACTAGGTTTGCAGTACGTCCTAGTTTCTAGCTTGCAATTTTTCGAGTAAATAAACAGGTCTAGAAATTCAGTCCCCTCTGTAGAAGGTGTCGACATTGTAAACTTGAGGTTTGGATGGTATTGATTGAGCCAAAGTAGGAACTGGTCTAGCTTCTCCAGTGACTCAGTCCAGGTGATGTATATGTCGTCACGGTATCTGCCATAGAACTCAGGGGTTGTGATTTCTTGGCTCTCCACGATCTTACTGTCCAAGGGGCTGAGAGCTGAGTCTGCATACTGGCAAGCATTATTTGGACCCATCGCAGTTCCACTTGTCTGTACATACATGTTGCCATTGAAAACAGTGATGTTGTTATCCAGGGTTATCTCCAAAGCTTCCATAACGCAGTCTGTGGAGAAAAGTTTAGTACTTCTTTGGTCTAGTAAGGTTCTACAGGCTGGTAGTCCAATCTCCTTTGAAATGCTGGGGAACATGTTTACAATATCAAATGTAACGTGGTAGATGGTCTTCCCAGTCAATCTTCCTGACTCATTGAGTTCTTTCATCTTCATAAGTAGATCATTAGAATCCATGAGGCAATGGGGCAGGGTTACCTTCTTTAGTTCTTCTGCTGTGAATATTGAGAGGTTCTTGATGTAAGAGTTACATCCAGTGCTGATAAGTCTCCCAGGGTAGTTTTTCTCTGGTTTGTGAGCTTTCAGGTTCATGTAGTTTACTCCAGGTTCATTTTCCTCTTCACTAGGTGTTACCCATTCCATAAAGTTTGGGGTCATGCCAGGGCAGTCAGCCCTGGCATTTTTTTTTTTTTTTTTTTTTTTTTTTAATGAGGAACCTGCCAAACCCCAGGACACCAGGAGGATACCACCGGCAAAGCGGCTAATAGTACCCTCCGGTCTGTGTTGTACCGAAGAAGCTAAGTTAATCGATCAAGACTCGGCTTACCAGCCAAGAGGGAAAATCTGAGCGGCACCAAGGGTTCAGAGAGTGTCATTTCAGCTTCTCCGGTGCTGGATGCCCTGGGGTTTCACATGCGCCGTAGCAAAATAAATATAAAAACACACGCACACAATTTTTTTTATTCTTTTAGATAATACGTCGAATAAAGTCAGTGGATATAGAGTAATAAATAGCACATAAGATGGAGAGAAAAAGGAGAGATACTACTGGTTTTAAATGTGACTCTATATCAATACTAGTAGTGGAGATAACTCCACTGGCTACAACTTGTGAAATAAAGGGTAAAGGTAAGGCACGGCTGTAATTTCGAGAGAATAAATAAACAAGAGTGTATAGTGGATCCAGTACTTTGGGTATAAAATGGTCATCAAGGTATAACGTCTTTAAGGCACCGTATAATATCCGGTTTTTCACCTAATAAGAAAAGCTTAAGATGTTTAAGATATCGCTCCCAGAATAGGGGTTCCTTGTTCTGGAAACTCC